TTCCGCAACAACGTATCTTGTTCCGTCGCTCGCCATTATCTATTTCGGTCTTACTGTCACATTGATTTCTCGTTTCATTTTGCCACCGCGATTTCTAACTATAAAATATTTGTAACTATCATTCTATTTATTCGTAAAAATTTATAGAGATAAAAAATAGAGATAAAAAATATTGCATTAACTTTGCCTCTTATTTATCTTCGTAAGCAATTGAATTCGCAGGATATAAGTTATATCCTGTACGCGTATTCTGTCTAGCATTTTATATTTTTCTGCTCCATCACTATAGATTGATAGATTAATATTCGACGATGCTTTTATTTACGCGAAACTCTTTGTTTTCAGTCTACCAATCTGATCTGTATTACAGCCCGATACTTCCAATTCATACGATGGCGCGCTACAACTCCGATATTTTTATGTATGAAATTTATTATGCATCAAGAAGAGAACGGGGTACGTTAGAAGACGCGTTGCGATTCGCAAGAAGAAAGATATCGGGAACGCGCCGCGGAGAGAGTCTCGTCGAGACAAAATATTCATAACGGTAGAATGAAATTCCGCCGGGTCGGATCCTCCATTCGCGCTTCCACTCCCGGGATACAATTCCCAGGAATAACTTAGTTTCGTATCGGCCGCGGCTAAGTCAATTGCACTTTGGCAACTTGTATTCAATTATTCCATTTCAACCGAGAATGCGCTCACGACCTGATCTCGCGAGATTACAAAGGTTCGAGCTTAACGATTATTCGCGTGGAACGCCGCGCCGTCGTTGCCGTGCTACGTGTGTTTCCACTTGGCCGACCAACGTCGGAAGAATCTACTGTGTGTACACAACGGTAGCATCGCATTACTTCGACCGTTACGTTAAGGCTCGAAACTTTTAGTTTCGCGAATTATAAAAGTAACGGAAATTGTACGTCACATCGATTCGCGACGTAGTATCGCGTTACATCGTCCGTTCTGTCCAAGGTGCCTTTTATTTAAATTTCGCGAATTATAAGAGTAACGGCAATTTAGCGCTGCATCGATTCGCAGATAGGCGATGTAAACGTGCTGCGAATTCGTCCAATTTTCTCATGCAAATACCGAATCTTGATCAAGGCTGCAGAAGCAATTCACAATATTGCTTTAACATCTACTGGAAGCTCCGTTAATGAACGTACGCTGCAACGTTTGTTCGTGAGAATGTTCCTTGTACTTTAATGAATTGTGTGCTAAATTAGAAATAATACTGACTGGCTAAAATTTTAATTCAGCCGGATTCTTAGTGAATACATTTTGGCTTATTCAAGATTATTTCTTCAATAACTTGTATATATAAATTAATATACAGAATACATTAAAAAAGTAGCACAACTTGGAATAAATTATTAAAAATAGCTAAACAATAAATTTAATAAATAAAGTAAAGAAAAAATAAATAAAATAACAACTAAGAATAATAATGTTAACAAAACATAATTTGGTGGAGTATAATTATTAAAATTTTTTGCAACTTTCTAATGATTATCTATTATCGATTTTCAACGTACATAAAACATTTCATTATTCAAATAATTAGATACTGAACTTTTTATCGTCTACATGTTGTTTATTTGTTGCCAAGATCTTAGTATTCCGCAGATTAAGTTCGCGTATGAGATGTAAGACGCGATCAGCGTCGAGCTCGAGTAACGAACGAGCAGCTCGTATAGAAGCAGCCCTAGTCGAAGTACCGCTATATCCGCACGTAAATTCAATTATACGTACAAAGCTACTACTGTGGACCGCAACGACCACGAGCGTAGGCAGAAATTGAGGGTATGAGAGGCGAATAGAAGGGAATAGCGGCGCTCCGCATGTGGATGAACCTATGCTATGCCTCTCACAAGGAGAAGTAGCCTCATGACTCGCATACTACGGCACAAATTTCACTTGTAGTGTGTTTCCTGTATCGGAATACATCGTCTGACATTGATCTTGGCGTGACGAGAGGAGCGGGGCGATATTAACTTCATTTAGGCTTAAACATCCATGCGAATTAAGTTTAATTGCCGTTTGTGATTTACTTCTTTTAATTTGATTTATTTTTAATTTTTGCTCTGCGCGCGGAGGGACGAAGTTAATCTTCGACGCCCTCCAGAAACAAAATATTGTTGGAAGATTGTTACTTTAACGGAGAATAAATTTTATAATGCAAAATTATACAATGTCTTCAAAACTTTGAAAGTGTTATATCATTTATCTCATTTATTTCATAACGCGAAACGTCAATAGTTTAATCCTCACGCGATGTCGATATTAAAATAAAATATGACACTCGTCCTGCATATCATTCCTACTGGAAAAGGCTCGCGGGGTTATTGACGACGGCGCGGGGCAAAGTGTAAAATCACGGTCCGTGAATATCATTTGATTCTTCCGTCTTTTCTTCCTATTTATCCGATCAAAGCGACCCACCCACTCGTCCCGCGAGCACTTATCCTCTTTGTGTTCACAGACAAGACGCGCCATCGCTCAAAAATGTTTCTTACCCTCTTTGAAGGACGACGGTGCCTCAAAGGTAAATTGAGCCCCTTTTGCGACCTCATCCTCCGATATTCCGGTTGACTTTCAGCCGAAGGACGTCGCGCAATTATTCGCGTACCTCCGTAACGGAGCGAAGAGGCTGAAGAAGGTCGCAAAAGCAGCAGCGACTCGAAGATCATCATCGATGGGTAACATTGTCTTGTTTATCGCAGGACCGTGAAAACTTGAGGATCGTCGAGACGGTCGACGCGACACAGAAGAGTCTCTTAAAGCGTCCTGCCAGATACCGAAAGGGAACGGTCACCGCGAACCAAGTATCAAAGAGCGAAACGCTCGAGAAAACGTCGAGTTTCGACTCATCGTTCGTTTCACACGCCGCCTTCGAGGACCTAGAAATGTTGCAACAGCGTCATTTGCAAGAAAAGGAACTGGCGGATCGTCTCATGCGTCAAGCATTGAATTCTTGAGATTGATTCGGATAAGTAGAACGGCCGCTACAAATACAATGTCCAGTTATTTTCTCTCGCTATTGGTGTATCGCTGTTCCATCTAACAAACCATTTTTACAACTAAAAATTGATATTTTTGTCGTGGTTTACTTTCCGTTATGTTATCGACGTATGTTTATCCACCGTTTACCTTGTTTACGCATACACGCACGTCCGTTTTCCACCACATTTTTACATCTGTTGAGGGGACTCTTTGTATGTTTCGACGCGCGACAAACGTTTTACATCGCGTGGCGCGGCTCAATTTAAACGAAACGACACCATTACAGTTCATTGTGCACGGATGGACTCGCTATGCGGAATGTCGCAATATCGATCGTCCGTTTCCGCGGACGGATGTCCTTATTTTTGACCGTGTCGCGCGATCCAAGTTTCTTGCAAGTTGACCCGGCCGCGCGAGTTCCCGTCAAGAACTCTCACCCACACTTTGTCGCACGCGCGCGTTTATATTGTCGAGACGCGGCTGGCGGACTTGGCAGGCCGACGAGGCACCCGTAAATAAATTGCACCCGTACCCGGGAGATTAGTCTGAGGATAAAATATTTAAACTTAATTCCATCCGAATAAATAATTCACTCAATGTTATCCGGGGGGTTCGTATGCCCGCCATATCGTTACCCTCTTGATGTCGCGACGAGAGTCGCAACGGTAATACGTACGGACATAAATACGAACACATATGTGCGAAACGCCGCGAAATATTTTCGAGATTACATCCCGTTGCATTATTACAGAAGCTTGAAATTTTAGCAATTATCGCGAAAAAATTGGGTCACTTTTTCAAAATGTCAAACTGTTTTTTTTAATATACTGCAATTATTTGTCTACTATATTTATTTTGAAACCAAGCAATGTGGTTTCTGAACTTCTGGAAATATTTCTTATACAAATAATTCATACACAAATGCTATCCAATGAGTTTGTTTGTTTTTCCATTTAAATCGCGCTAAGTTTGCCATATTTTCAGATATTTTTACGAACTGCGCTCGTCGGCATGCAAAACGAGCGTATGGTACGTAACTGACGTGTTCTGCAAACTTGTCTCTACGGTTCCGGAATTATTCAAAGTTCTTTTTACGTACTTTCTCCGATTACGATCGTGCGGAAAACGAGCGTTTGCCAAGAGCAACCGAGTTGCGCTCGAGATGGTTGAAGCCGACGAGCAACGAGAGAGCATTTTTATCGGCTATGATCCACGGTGCTCTACGTGGCCGACTTAAACTTAAAGATCTGGAAAATTAGCGACCGTAAAATTCGCTCCCTCCGCGCTGCGGCTGCTCTCCTGAATATGTAAACGCTCTACTATTATTTGGGGAGATGATTCCACCGCCACGGTCACGGCTAAAATCCGTTATTACGCCTCTATAATCAAGCGCTGTTCCTGAACGATTCATCGCCTGCGGTCGAAATTACTTTTTAGCTTCTGTACAGAAGCGCCCACGCATTTTCTTGTCCTTCAATTAACGATTTGCTGAAATATTCTAATACCTTTTTCCATTTTACGACACGTCGGTTTTATTTGATTTTCTTCCTGACTTGCAGCAATTTTTGCATTTAAATAATTTTTAGATTTCAATAATTTTAATAATGTGTGTGTGTTCCTCAATAAGGATCAATGATAAAACTTGATTTGAATCTGAAATTACTTTCAATATTTTTTGTAAGGACAGACGAATTAATGTAATTCATGTAACTTGTAAGCAAGATAAGAGAAACATGGGTAGAAATTGTTTTATTATTTCTGCGTGCTTTTTACAAAATTATGAATTATATATAAAATTAACTGCATAATTAGAAAACATACTATATATTCCCAGTAGGCAACCAACTGCTCGCTCCTACTCCACGCTATTCTGTCCTACTCGACCTGTATCGCGGCGGTAGACCTTCTTCGCGGAATAACAGGAGATAGCGCGGCGTTACCCTCGCGTTGAGGGTTGATCGATCCACTGGTTGCGCGCGCGCTCGTCGCATGCGCGGAATAAAGCCGCCGACACGCCGTTGAGTTGCACGCACCGCAAGCGAGAGAGAGGCCGCCGCCGACCGATAACTCGCGCCCGAGAGGCCCCGGATCCGTAAATAAACGCACGAGTCTTCCTCCTTTTTTCCCCTTTGAACGTGTCGCACGCGGCGGGAAAGACTCTCGCGGGCGTGGTCGCGCGTGGTCCGCCGTGCGAGCCGATCGGGCGAGCGGTCAGCTCGCGGCGCGCGACGTCATCGGCGTCGTCCGTTGGGACGTGCCACGTCGATGGTACCACCGGCGGCGGCGGATGTACGGTGAGCGTCAATCCGGGTCGGCCGACTACGCCATCAGGCTGCCGCCAAGCGGGGAGGAAGTCTGTCTCGCGTGTCAGCACACATCAATGGTTCAGGTGAGTAAAGCGAAGTACGAGAGGTGTGCGGCGGTGATAACCGAGGGATGAAGGACAGCACGCGAGAGCTGCGCGGTGCTCGTCGCGGTGAAGGAAGGTGGAGGAGTGCCGTTCGCCTTGCTTGTTACGTTCCCCGCCGCTGGCGGACGTCAGCTGTAGCCGACGATAAGCGCACGGGGCGAGATGTCGCCACTCGAGACGAAGCAACCCTCACGTGCTTGTAGAAATAGCCTCGGTTGTTCTTGGTTTCCACCGATTGTTCTATTTTTCTTTTTTTTTTTCCCGTTTATTTTGGCATACTTCGGACTGCCGTGTTTCTGAGAATTTGACATCTGTCAAATGCTAATTTTTAATTTATGTTTTAAGTTCATGCGAGCTATACGATAATTTGTAGTGCGGTAACTTGGCAATTATGCTTCACTAGTCTATAATTCGTAATTTATGACGTTGATATATCGTCTTTTTGCGCAAGCGATGTGTGCTTCGTTCGTGACAGATACTCGTTATCTACTTATATCCGTTGTCAGTGACCGAGATATTCTTCAGTAGGCACGCTTATAAGATTATAAATCGAGCCGGAAATTCTTTATCGTTTTATAGCTTATAGCTACAGGATGTCACACTGTTGACAAATGATAAGAATGTTGGAGCATTATGTCCGCTAAATTCGCATCATGTTGAGTAATTGATGGCACCAAATAAAACAAGATAAGTAGAACAAAACAAAAATCACAATGTAAATTTTTATATCTAAAGCAGTATACGGTATAATAAAATAGTACGAAATAAAATTTTCAAACTGCAAATTCCGAGAAATATAAATTCACGAATTGTCTCGTAGTTCGCAGTTCGTGTAATAAAATCGTACACATCGAATAGCGTCGCCTTAAGTGCAAAGAGCGTTAGCTCATAATCGCGTAATCATATAATCCCTATAACAGCATCCAGCTTGCATTCGCGCCATGCCATGAAAATCGCATCGTATTTTATCGAAGACTATTAATCCGTAACGATCTGAAGAAGCGATTCTCGAGCGCGAGAGAGGATGAGCGAAGCGCGCGGGATAAACCCTCAGAGTCCCGGTCCTATAGTGGCCTTTTATGTAAATGGATAATGGTTCTACAGCGGTCGGCTGAGTTCCTAGACGCCGAGAACGTTGCAACTGCCGAAGGGCAGTTCATTAACTGCCAGACGCCGGGGTTCGATGAGAGAGCTACGGCTCGGGAGAGAGGCGAACGGCTTTGAAGTGGCAGCCGCCTCGCGGGCGTCCAACGCGTAACAACGAGAATTATCTTCTATTTCTCTCTGTTCGCCTGCCCTCCATCCGGCATCCGCTTATGCTCATCCATCCCTTAACGCGCGCGCATCCATACAAGGATACCTGACGCTCCGTTGATTGGGGCGCTTCAAGCGAGGCAATAATCGCGCCAGTATCCGGTCCTATGAAAGCTGTCTTAATGAATTGACGCGGACGAGAAGTGTTGTGATACGCACGCTTTCATATTCATCGGGCATTATTCTAACAATACTGCCGCGACAGAAGAGCAATTGTCGGCTTATACTAATTATGCGAAGAAACGAGGCGACAGTTCCATTTCCGCCGATTGAGTCGCTCTAAATAAATCGAAGAAAAACAGAAGAACACGTGCAACATCACCGGTAGTATAATTTACATTTTATCGATATATGACATGAAAAAAATATAAAACGTTATATCGTTATTTATATATTGCCTATTTATTTAGTTAAATATAATTGTCCAAGGATATTTATTATAATTTTGTCAATCAAAAACTTTGTGACTAATTAATTTTATTGTTTCAAACTGTAGCGATAATGACGATTGTGTGTTCGTGCGATAATGAAGGACGATTAGCAGTTCAATGTACAACTGCCACAAACTACTGCAATTTAAATGTGCTTAATACGACTTTTCAAACCGCTATTATCTCCGCGGGAGATGACCTGGACTCGAGAGGCGATCTCTGTAAAATGCTGTTAATATTTTCCGCGCCATTAATATTTCAATACAAGTTTCAGAGTTTTACACCGAGTAACGTCGTTCGCGCTGAAATGGCGACTGCTATATGCGCACTCTCGCCACAGTTCATAGCGGGATCACGGGTTACGACAGCTTATCTAATGACTCCCTATCGAAATAACTGCCAACGGCGTAATTATCGTCCGCCTAGCGCACAAACAAAATTTGCCGAACGTGAACGATGATTTTATCCATATTTTACGCTTCCATAAGCATGTATATTTTATAAATGCTCGTGGAACCGCCCTAGGTTTTTTTCCTAATTGCAGATTCATCGCGCGTTAACTCTGCTGCATTGTCCCCGTTAATTATCGGCGCGGCTCATCACTCCACCTGGCAATTATTAACGAATAATTAACAGCGTTTCATTAACGGCCATGTCAATACTGGCGATTATTTATTTAAACCGCGATTATTTATGTTTTAATTGCGGCGCGTTTATTATTGCACATCGGGCGCGAGGTCCTCTTCGCGATGAACCAGCCAACGAATTTGTCATCGCACTAATGGTTTTTACGCAGGTACTAATAATAAGGGGCATTAAGTTTGTCATGTCGAATAATTGTTATATTCGCAAATATTAAGAGAAACAAATTATCGTGAATGGTACATATAATTATTCGCGGATCACATCGATAATGATGATAATAATTACCTTATAAATTTCCTACCTTCTACATGCACACGTCGTGCACATTCAGCGGAAAACATTTAAAAAGCGCTGCATCTAATGTAATATTTCTTTTAAAATATTATAATTATTTTCATTGCTTTGATCTTCTCTCATTACGTACATCGATATTCGCGCAATAATTGGCTGCCGCCGTACATTGGATAAAACATCGAAGGTTTCCATATACATATCCATATCTCTGCAGTGAATAATTAAAATGAGCGATTCGTAGACAGACTCGCATCCAAAAATGCTACAGATAAATATAGAAAAATAAAAATTTAATATTTGCAATAGCGGAACAGTGAATTTTTCATTAGGCCAATCAGCCGTCGCGACCCGCTAAGCGCAAAATGTTATAATATTTGTCAGATAATTATTGAAAATATTACAATTTTCATGTATTATAAGGATCAATAAAATTTATAAGTATTCTGGGCTGCCGTATTGATCTAGGGTTGCCGACCCATGGATGATATGGTCCGGAATAACTGTAGAATCACGGTGTGCCTAAGCACATCAGAAACGCAAACGCGCACCGATGGATATTCGTAACAGGTTTTTTTTTTGCATCGTGTCGTCGAATGAGCTGACGAAAATCAGCATCCGTATAATCCGCCGGATGCTTGATCGGCCGGCCCGGAGCGAAAATATAGAGCACTCGACGTGGATATACCGACCCCGAAACGACCAATTTATTCGCGGTCGAGTTACTCTTCTGTGCCACTGCTCTCGTTGATAGTATCTCCTGCCAGCGAGCAGCGTCCGAAATCGTTGGTTCGATCTGAACTATCGACCTCGTGTATTTGGGATGCGGCGATGTCCGATAGAGAGATAGATTTCCCTCCTTCTCACTCCGCCGCCCTCTCGCTCGTCAACCTCGTAACTTGTTTGATTTCAATCATTTTCGAGTGTTTTCAATACATTTTCCAAGTGTTTTCGATACGAGACTCGCGAGCATGACCAGGTATATTGTTTTATCGTTTCCGGTTGTTTTCAATGGGCTCGGATGCGTGGCGGATATGCGAATCGAAAAACGTTGCATTATAGTTGATGCCGAATACCGACGCCGTCTGAAGTCCATCGCTCTCCGAACAAATTATATTTTTTTTCCTCCCCCTCTCCCCCTCCCCCCGACATTCGCATTTCCGTTTTGCACGCACACGTCGGGCGTTCCTGTTATTTTTCGCGGGATACGTAGCGCCGATTTTATGAAGCACGATCTTGGAATATGTGCTGCCGCACCGTGCTGGATTTGATGAAGGGTCCTTATTAAAGGGCGAACATGCGTGTTTTTTCATTCCGATGGTCGAGTAGAATATTTACAGGTTTTGCGAAATAAGAGATATGAGAGAAATAAGAGAGAGAGCAGTTTAATCCCCGCTCGAGAAGTGCTCGAAAATATTTTTTTCTCTGCGCTCATTGTTGCGCGCCTACGTACAAATTAAAGTATTCCAGATCGTTAGGTATGATTTGATTTGTTTTTACACATATCGAGGAGTATCTATTCTAGTATGCGTTCCATTAAATGCGAGTTTGCCAAACATTTTTCTTCGCGTAATTAAAGCTCGTTTATTCGCTCGGCAATTTAAAGTAAATTATTTTAGAGGTAAAGTAAATTGGGTTTTAATAAGGTTAAACGCGTTCTACATCTCCATTTTACATCTGCACGGTGTAATACATCGCCAAATGCATCACTAAACGCTCGGATGGGTGCACGTATACATACTTTAACAACATAAAAAGCCATATTCACAATTCATAGCCCGCGTTTTTGGCATATCATTTTTTATTCATTACACCGGCGTATACTTAATCACTCTTGGTTGATTCTTTGTGTTGGTAGTAGCGCTTTGTGCATGAGGGGCAGTAATTACTCGCTGGGACGACTCCGGGGGATGTCGTCGCGACGTGATTTACATGTCTGAGAAACAGAAAACTCGAGAAGTAGGCTTGACTGTCGCCGCGCCTCTTCCCGTGTCGTCTCCGGGTCGTCGTGGACCCACCTTTCGCCACCGGCTGCCAGTGACACGTCTTAGAATCGTAGCTTGTTTAATTATCTCGGCAGTTATGCAAAGCAAATACGTGCGGCGGGAGGAAAATTGAAGATGTGCTAATTATTGCATAAAAACTTAAAAAGATAGGAACGTATAAATGGAAGGAGAATAGAAAGATAGGGCCATAAAGAAATGACAGAGAGAGAGAGAGAGAGGAGGAGAGAGAGAAGAAGAGAGAGAGAGAGAGAGAGGAGGAGGAGGG